GTGACAGTTTAGTGCTCTATGCTTTGAAAGTTCCTTAGAGATTCTAAACAAAAAAAATTAGTTAGCTGAACAAAAAAGAAACACGATAGAACTATCCCATTCTTGAGAATTAGTCTGGATGTTAAGAGGGGTGAATGGTTGGCAAGAAATGATTACCTTAAATGAATGGAAAAATAGATGTAAGCAAAGATAGTTTGATCAAATTGTACATATAATTTGAAAAAAATCTTTTCGCATAAAGGATTAGAAGCTTAGTATAAAGATACGTGTTCAGGTTGCTGCACTCGTGTTTCTCACAATAAATCAAGGCATTGCGAACAGGTTGCAGGAGGAACAGGAGGATGAAAAAGTAGATGGAAAACAGTTGATCGACCTGTTCACAGAGAAATATGGATCGCAGAGAATGTTGTAAGTACAGCGTCTTCAGAAACCCAGTTAAAATTTGGAATTCCAAATGAAAGTGCAGAAAAAACGCTGCACTAATCCTTTGGTAATCGCATTTAAAATGTAAAAAAAAATTGTTAGGGAACGTTCCGTATGCCTCCTAGATGGCTCATGCGTCGACATATTCGATAATATCAATGAAAATGGAGAAAAGTAAGTGCTAAATGGTTCATGATTTATAAAACAGGATAAGGAAATAACAAGATACGTGGTTGTTCGCGAGATTGGCACAGGACCTATACGACTGTCTACTATGTTGTTGAAAACACCCAAAGGTGAGCAAATAAGCAAATATCGTTTGAGCCATTGAGACATACTCGTCAAATAAAGAGACGTTAAAGAAACTATCTCTGCGTATTTGGATTACTGTAATTTTATTCATAATGGTGCTATACTCTTATACGAACAGATTTGTGACAATTTCATTTAATTCCGGTCTACTAATCTTTTTCATGGAACCTAACTCAAAAAGTCCTGGAAAAATTGGCAACGAAGCATTTCAGTGGTCTAGAGGACTTAAAGAAGAAAACAGCTAAAGAAGTTTTGTAAATGGAAAAAGTGAAATTCATTTTAGGCCTTACTGCAGACAAGATGGACACAACTAAATGGGAAATCGACAACGTATCCCCGAAACTGGATAATTACGTAACAACAATGATAGGTTTGCGATGGTTTGCTTTCAGGAGTTTGAA